CTCTCCATTAGATCCCTGTCCCTCTGGAACTGAGGAGCCCAGAACTGGACATTACACTCCAAGTGAGGTCTCACCAGGGCTGAGTAGATGGGGAATCAATCAAGGGGCCTCCCTGTGTTGGGGGCTTTGCCAATGAAAGCCCAGCCTGGAGGTCAACCTGAGGAGCTGCTTTCCTGCTGCCCCAGGAGGTGGCAGCTGGAAGAGCCAGAGGTGTCTGGGTATGAGGTGGCAGCTCCTGCAGCATGGAGGGCTGGACACCTCCAGCCAGGGAGGAGGAGGAGGGAAGCAGGAGAGTGGGAAGACAGGCACAGTTTTGCAGAAGTCTGCCAAAACATGCAGAGGAAGGAGAACATCCCTGTTCCTTGCCAGGGGACAGCCAGGAATTAGCAGCAGGATCAGCCCAGGTTTCTTCACCCTGCAGGACCCCCTGGTTCAACTCAACAGCCTCATCCCAAGCTCTCAGTGCCAGACACAAGAGCTGGGTTTACTGTTCACCTCTGTCTCTCATGAGGAGGAGCCCCAAGGGCCTTTACAGTCAGGAAGCACTATCACATTTTCTCCCAAGTGTCTCCAAGGACACCCATGTGCTGGTGACCTCCAGTTGGGCACTAGACCAGGCTCAGCTGCTACAGGACAATCCCCAGGGCAAGTGGTACCAAGTTCCTTACCTTTCCTGTGGGTCACCAGCACCTCCACCACGGCGTGCAGCTTCCGCAGCCGCTGGTCCTCACACTCCACCTCCTGCAGCTTCTCCTCAAACCACTGAAAGGGGGAAACCCAGAGCTGATCCCCACCCATGCAGGGCTTTCCTTGCATTTAAGGATTGGACTTGATGATCTTAAAGGCCTTTTCCAACCAGACCAGTTCTGTGGTTCTGTCTTGCACCCAATGCTGGAGCTGGGGAGAGTGTGAGGACAGCCCAGAGGTGTCCCCAGTACTTACTATGTCTGACTCGTTCATCTTGATGGTCATTTTGCTGACAGCATCTGTAGCTTTGTTGAACATCTTCAGTATTCCTGCTCCACTCAGGGTCTGGGTGCTCACTGCCCTTGGTAGCTGAAAAGAAACAGAAGACTTAGCTTCACCAGGAGGTAGAAGCAGCTTGGAGAGCAGCCACCAGAGAGGCATTGTTCTCCTCATGGGTCCCCTGACCATATGGCTTCTGCTCACAGCAACTGCAAAGGACCAGCCAGACCCAGCCCAAGCAGTGACAGGACCTGTGCAATATTTCCAGCAACAGGACTGGAGGGGTGTTCAAACAAGAACCTTGTGTCAGTGTCTGCCAGCAGAGAAAGGTATTCCCACAAGCTCTGCTCCCCAACAGAGTCCTCCAGCCCAGTCTTAAGGCTGGAATCCCTCAGGTGAGGGTTTTCCCAGAGCTCAGCCCCTTTCAGACTGACTTCTCCACCTCAGGTGTGCAGATGGACACGGTCACGCCCTCCTTGGAGGAGCAGGGACACCAATCAGCTCCCTCTTAGCACCTGAGCCTCAGGCCAAGCTGGTGCAGGACCCCCTCACCTCCCACCAGTGGGCTAACACTCCTGCCATGGGTTTCAGCCAACAAAACTCCCCGTGCTCTCAGTGTGTGCCCCACCACAATGGTCAGCCAGCTCAGAGCTCGTCATGAGCGTTTAGATTCAGTGCTCAGACAAGCTCTGCCACACACAAGTGCCACACACTTGTCATCACTCCTAAGAGCTCTTAAAGGCTTCTGCTGCTTCTCACTGATCTGTGAAGCATCATGCTTGGGTACCATTCCCTTCTGCACTTCTAAAGCACTTGCTGAGAGGTTGTTCCACTCCACTGACCTCCTCCTTTTCCAAGAACTCCCTGACGTCGGGGTCCTGCAGCATCGTGGGGTGGCTGACAACCCTCCGGAGGTACCTGCAGGGAGGAACCACCACCAGTCACTTGGGTTGCAGCAAACGTGGCTTGGAGCCACCTCAGGGATCTGCAACATGCTCGTTATTGCCTCTGAAGTGGCAGGTTGGTGGATGGAAGTCAGGCCCAGCAAGAGTCCCACCTCCCTGTGGACCTAGTGAGACCAGCCTGCAGGAGCAGCCCCCTGGCCAACACCTGCTGGGGCTAAAATGCCACTCGACCCATCAAGGGGTGGAGATTTAGCCTCACACTTAGAACAATGAGACTTCAAACAGACCTTTCAGAGGCTGCAGCTGGAGGGGAACAGCACCCTGGTGCTGCCTACAGGTGGCAGAGCAAAGGCCACCTGCAGCTGTGTAGTTTGGGTGCAAGCCAGACAGAGATCAAGCTCTTTCTGACCTGATCTGCACTGTTTGCACCATGAAACATCCACATCTTTGGGCTCCTCAGGCAGCTCAGTTCTCTCACTGCAGTTTGGCCAGATTTGGACCAAACACCAGCAGGGGCTTTGGAAGCAGGAGACACTTATAAACCACCAAAACCCCTCTCTGCAGCTTTGCTGACACAGGGAGGAGGGTGCAGCCAGTCTGGCCTTCCCGGGGTCCCCTGGTGGGTTCAGGCAGGAGGGGTGGGGCTGGGGTCTGTACCTCTCCAGAGCAGCCCGTCTCTTCTCCAGGAACTCTGCAGAGGAGGAGTCTTCTTTCCCAACTTTCACTTTGGTCATTCCTGGCAGAGGAAAAAGTCATAATTCCTGAGCAGCTTCCAACTCAGCACGTTTGTTCCAGACTGTCAGGCTGATGGGAGAGGAGTTTTACACCAGGGATTTCTTGCATTAGCAAGAACCACCAGGAATTTAAAATCTGCCTCAGGTCCAGCAGGAGGTGACATCCAGAAAAGAGGCAGAGCAATGACAGGGGAGACTGGGAGGGCCCCAGGTCTGGACTCAAGTGATGCAGTGACAGGGCAGAGGATGAGGTTTTACTCCACATCAAGCAGACATGGAGGCATCTATGAACTCAACCAAAGCTTCAAGCCCCAAAACCCAAGTATGGACCCAGAGTTTTGCACCAGCCACAGAACCCAGATCATTTTAGCTTCCCTAGACTGCTCTACAGCTTCTGTCCCAGCTTCCAGAGTGCAGAGAAGGAACTTGAGCCCTCTCAAAGGACCAGCTCTAGTGCTCTGTGCCTCCACCACTCACCTATGAGACTCTTCTCAGGCGGTGGAGGAACGATGAACCCGTTCTGGGCATGTTTCTCCGACAGCTTCTCATAGAGACCCAGGAAGTCACTGAACCTCCTTTTCACTGAAAACTGCTTGCTCCTGAACATGGGCATGCTGGTCTGGGAGGGAGAGAGAAGACTCAGACAGGACTCACCCCAGGAAGTTCCCCTCTGGAGGCACAGCCTCTACAGCACTACCTACTGTCACTGCTGGGGATGGAGCAGGAAAGCTTGAGCTCTGAGCAGAGCAAACTTTAGTCCAGGTTTTCATCAGCTTCCCTTGGACCCAGCAGCACCATTAATACCAGTAAACAGAGCACCTGGTACTGCTTGGTAAGCCCTGCCCCATTGCCTAATCCCTTCACCCCTGCTCCTCAGGGGAACAGGAACCACTCTCAGGTCTCACTTGATCACCCTCAGGCTACAGGGGCCATCAGCAGCTTCTAACTGTGTTTGCAGAGCAGGGGTGAGGGCTGACAAGTCCCCTCATCCCCTTCACACCCCAACACTGCTGTATGAACAACACTTTTGCAGAGCAGCCCAAAGCTCCAAGCAGGGCTTAATCTCTTGTGACTAGCCCAGGAAGGTTCTGGTGTGACACCAGCCAGGGCAGCAGCTCCTCAGCCACAGCCCAGCTCAGGTCACTCTAATCGGATGCACAGAGTGATTAGCAACATCCCCCAGTGCCTGGGGCTCCTCTCCCTGACAGATGGCATTCTTCACTCCCAAGGCTGAGCACCCTGATCAAAGAAGGAAATGCCTGGAAAAATTATTAAAAAGAAAAAAAACCACAAAAAGCAGCCAGGCTCCCTGCCCAGGGCCAGCAGCTCAGCTGGGCTGGGATCTGTAGGGATGGATTTTAACTCCTGAATCCACATCCCAAGGCTTTCAGAGCTCCTGTCTCTTTAGGTCACCACTGCCTTGGCAAAGAAAATACAACACAGCTCTCCTCAAGCATGGGAAGATGCTGAGAGCCCATCTGAGGAGGGACATGCTGGACTCACCTGGGTTGACACTTTGTAGGCTACGTAGGCGTTCATGCCATCCCCTGTGGAGAACAGAAACAAGGCCTTAGTGTCACAAGATCAGCACTTCCCACTGTCACCCCAGGGCAAACCACAAGGCTCCTGCAGGCTCCAGGCCTTTGCCTGTTCTGGCAACTCCCACCTTTGATCTGAGGGAGCCCCAGCTCCTCACACGGAGGCAGGCAGCACCCTTCTGCAGGTCCCTGGCCTCTGCCCCCCAGGCATGACCCCTCAGCCCTCCTCCTGCTTTTGGAGGCAGCCAACACCAACCAGCAGGCACTTGTGACACCAGCAGCATCTGTCTGACTCCACTAGTCCATGACAGCTCAGCAGCTGCAGAGCATGGGGAGCTCTGCCCAGGGAACACAGGGACAGCCCCTGTCAGTGCTTGGAAACATCCAGGCAGGTGTCTCCAGAGAAGACAGAAACCCCTTGTTGGGCAAGGGGAGGCTTTACCTGGTAACCCAACTGAAGGGTATCCTCAGAGGAAATTATGCTACCCTAACAGAGAGGCTGCTCCACCAGCTGGGCTCTGATGTTACTGAGGGTTCTCTGCACCCCAGGACTGCCACAGAGCTGGCCAAGTCCCTCTGACCCCACTGTCCACAGAGAGAAACCCTCTTGCTTCCCAGCTGGAAGACAGAGCTGCTCCCCTGACAAGCACAGCTGACAGGGAAGGTGCCAGAGAACAGCATAACACTTTTAGTTTTACAATTGACACTTTGTAGGCTACGTAGGCGTTCATGCCATCCCCTGTGGAGAACAGAAACAAGGCCTTAGTGTCACAAGATCAGCACTTCCCACTGTCACCCCAGGGCAAACCACAAGGCTCCTGCAGGCTCCAGGCCTTTGCCTGTTCTGGCAACTCCCACCTTTGATCTGAGGGAGCCCCAGCTCCTCACACGGAGGCAGGCAGCACCCTTCTGCAGGTCCCTGGCCTCTGCCCCCCAGGCATGACCCCTCAGCCCTCCTCCTGCTTTTGGAGGCAGCCAACACCAACCAGCAGGCACTTGTGACACCAGCAGCATCTGTCTGACTCCACTAGTCCATGACAGCTCAGCAGCTGCAGAGCATGGGGAGCTCTGCCCAGGGAACACAGGGACAGCCCCTGTCAGTGCTTGGAAACATCCAGGCAGGTGTCTCCAGAGAAGACAGAAACCCCTTGTTGGGCAAGGGGAGGCTTTACCTGGTAACCCAACTGAAGGGTATCCTCAGAGGAATTATGCTACCCTAACAGAGAGGCTGCTCCACCAGCTGGGCTCTGATGTTACTGAGGGTTCTCTGCACCCCAGGACTGCCACAGAGCTGGCCAAGTCCCTCTGACCCCACTGTCCACAGAGAGAAACCCTCTTGCTTCCCAGCTGGAAGACAGAGCTGCTCCCCTGACAAGCACAGCTGACAGGGAAGGTGCCAGAGAACAGCATAACACTTTTAGTTTTACAATCATAGAATATGCTGAGTTAGAAGGGACCCATCAGGATCATTGAGTCCAACTCCTGTCCCTGTGCAGGGCACCCCAAGAATTGCCCCATATGCCTGAGAGCATCATCCAAATGCTTCTTGAACTCAGGCAGGCTTGGTGCTGTGACCTCTGCCTTGGGGAGCTGGTTCCAGTGCTCAGTCATCCTCTGGGTGAAAAACCTTTTCCTGATATCTAACCTAAACCTTCCCTGATTTAAGAGGATTTAAGGCAGTTTTGCTTCCCCTCCAGTGCTGCCTGGAGCCCAAGTGAAACTGGTCACCACAGTCTCAGATGCCAAGCTCTGCTACTGCAACCACTGTGCTTTTCCCATCCCAAAAAAAACAACTCCTGGCTCCCAGGCTTTGGGGTCTCTGGCTTTCCAGGACCTGCTCCTGCCTTGCTCATTTATGACATAGGTGTTTTGCTTTGTTTAGCTTCATTTCCTCCAAATGTTGGAAGAAATCTGGGAAGTTACTCTAGGATCAAGTTTGCACTTGCAAGGACAGCTCAAAAGCTGGAGCTGTGGCACAGGGAGGTGAGAGGTACCTTTATCCCAGTGTTCACTGGGAGCAGCAGGGCAGGATGTCAACTCACCAACTTTTTCTGGGTCACTCACTCCTACATTCAGCTCAAATTTGTCCTCCTGTTCCTCCTCTTCCAGCTGTTTGGAATAAGCACATAGAATCACAGAATGGTTTGGGCTGGAAGGGACCTTAAAAATCATCTAAATCCAACCCCCTGCATGGGCAGGGACACCTCCCACTAAACCAGGTTGCTCAGCGCCCCACCCAGCCTGGTCTTGAAGACCCCCAGGGAGGGGGAAGCCACAACATGAGGCAGCAAGTTCCAACCAGGCATCAACCCTCCCCACAGCACCACGTCCCAGGCATCACGGGGAGCTTCTCACACTACCCAGGCAGCTCTGACACCTCAGCCTGGCCAAGAGTAAAACCCTCAAGCTCCTCACTTGTGTTCAGGATCCCAACTGGATTTGTCTTTACTGCACCACCCCCTGCACAGACTGATGTACAAAGTGCTCAGCCCCAAGGGGAAGCTCTGCAGAGCACCAGCTCTGCCCCAGGCAGTTCCCTCTGGGCTCCTTTACATCATGATTTCAGTTCTCATCTGAAACAGCACAAGACACTGAACCTTTGCAGAGGTGAGTTGGGCTGTGCAGGCTCATGGGGGTGTTTTGAGACTAACACAGGCAAGTGCACCCTGGGAACCCCACCTCAATGGTAGCAGTCCCAGACTGATGTCCTGAGACACAAGCCAGGGCATCCAATATGGCAATTACATTAATTGCCTCATTTAAGATGCATGATTACAACTAAGTAACCAGACAGGCTCCTGCCAGTCACAGTCTCAAACCAGCAGGGCAAGCTGGGAAGCTCAGAGCAATCCTCACCTCCTCATAGCTCTTTGGAGGGTCACTAGAAGAACTTGCAGCTACTTCTAAGGAGGGGGCAGGGTTGGATGCTTTGGGCAGCTCCTTCTTCTGGTTGTTTTGAGCATTGTCCAGAGACAGCTCTACAGTGGCATCTGTCAAGAGAAGTTTGCAAAGGTCAGACTCTCTGCTTTGGGTTTCTGGGAAGGTCATTTCAAGATTTTCACAGAGGTTCAGGGGCTCTAGGGAGAAACAACAGCTTTAATTGTCAGAAAAAAATATATCAATAGGGAGGAAAAGCATAACTTGATGCAACTCCTCTGAAGTAAGAGCATCTGATCAATCCTGATGGAGAATATCAAGTTAATCCAATGAACTTCTTACTCTAGAAGGAGCTAGGTGTGACACCCACTTGCTGTGGGCTACAGGAGCTGCAAGCTGGAACAGCGAAAGCCAGGGGGGTTTTTTACAGGGCATGTAGGCCAGCCTGGAAGGTAGGCAGCTTCCCACCACACTTCTCCACCCAGAGGACACAAAAGCTCCCATATAGCAGCAGATATTTCCAGAATTGACTCTAAGATGTCTCTGCCAGAGGCGTCCCTACATGACAGGGCTGGGGTCCCTCCCTGTTTTCCCCTGCTGAGGAGTGTTACATCATCTGTTCCTTTGGAGCAGCCACATTTCAGCTAGAGATGATTCCTCCATCTGCATGGAGGGAGGAGAAGGTAGAGAACAAAAGCTTTTGAACCCTGGGAAGACACTCACCACCCTACAGTTTAAGACAGGAAAACTAAAGCCAACTCCATTTTTAAGCCTCTTCAGCTTCCAAAGAATTAATTGTGGTGCAGGATCATGTGAGAGACCTGGAGGAGGCTACTGGGACCTTCCTAAATGCACTACCAGACCTCAGGGCTTCCAGAGCAGACTGGAACATGGTGTGAGATAAAGACCTGGGACAGTTCATAAATATCCATGGTCATGCCCAAAAGGAAATCACTGCAGGCTTAGAGCCCAGAAAGTCCCAGCAAACACTCAGCAGACACAGACTCACCAGCAAATAGGTCCTGATCATCTTGCTCTTCACAAACCCCATTCTCTTTGGAGGTGCTGCTGACGGGGAGAAGAGATTCCCTTTTGGGTGCTGTGGGCTTGCTCTGCAAAAGAATTAAAAAGCATGTAAAGATGAGGTTGTTTTCACCAAGGAATGGAGGCTGGGGGACCACACACCAGCACCAACGCTGCACCAGGGCGGGTGGGCAGCACCAGGGAGCTGCCAGCAGGAGGTCCCCTGGGAAAGCCAAGATGCCACCACTGGTGGCAGGGACCCTGATCTGGTCAGGGCAGGACACCAGGACCCACAGGAGCCTTGTCAGCAGCTTCACTTGTGCTGGTTAAAAACCCCACCAGGAGCCAAGCTGCTCTTCCCCCAGGTGAAGGGGCCGTGCTCACAGCAGCAGCTGGATTCCACCTCCACGTGGTGCTGGAGGAGCTCATGGCCTCTGTGGAGGTGCCCTGTCCCCTCCTACACAGCCCTGGCAGCAGATAAGGCTGCCCTGGCCAGCCACAAGCTGGGCACAGCTCTTACTGTTGCACCAAGTGATGCTGGCAAAGCCTTGCAGGCCACGACCCACAGCTCTGCTCCTCACAGACAGGTTGGCCCCAGGGCCAACATTGCAACACAGCTGGTCCTGTCACAGCCTGGGGACACAGCTTGGGCAGAGGGGCTGTCCCAGCAACCAGGAGCATGCTGAGGGATGAGGTGAAGCATCCTGTGAGCAACAGCTGAAGGAACTGCAGGTGTTCAGCCTGGAGAGAAGGAGGCTGAGGGGAGACCTGAGCTCCCTGAGAGGAGGTTGGAACCAGGGGGGGTCATCTCTTCTTCTGAGGAACAAGTGACAGAACCAGGGGAAATGGCCTCAAGTTGTGCCAAGGGAGGTTTAGCTTGGATATCAGAAAAAAATCTTCACTGAAAGGGTCATTAAACATTGGCCCAGGCTGCCCAGGGAGGTGGTTGAGTCTCCATCTCTGGAGGTGGTTGAGACAAGTAGATGTGGTGCTGAGGGATGTGGTTTAAGCACTGGACTTGGAAGAGTTGGGTTAATGTTTCAAAGAGTTAGGTTATGGTTGGACTTGATCTTAAAGGTCTTTTCCAACTAGAATGGTTCTGTGATTCTGTGAAAACAGAGCTTGTGCACCACCCAGCCCAACAGCACCTCCTGTGTTCCTGCCCCAGCTGCCAGCCCAGGAGTTCTCCCTCCTTTTGCAGGCAGAGCAGCAAGGACAAGTTCTCTGAAGCAAGAACCAGAGAGCAAGGGCTACTGTGTCACCACTGAGCAGGGAACACAAGAGACCTTTGATGGCCACTCAATGGAGCCCTATCAGCAGCAACTCTGACCCGCCAGGCTCCTTGGCTCCCTCCAGCATGGACATGCTGTCAGTTCCCACTGCTCCTGGAGGAACACTGGGGTGATAAGGTGGCTCCTCAGAGAGGTGGGCCCATGTCTCTGGGTACCCCAACCAGCACTGTTGGACCATGAGTCCTCCTGTGTTTCAGGGTGTTTTCCTGGGACCACTCCCAGCTGGATCAGCAGAGGCACAGGCAGGAGCTGCCTGTGCTAGGAGTGGAGAACAGAGACCCTGATCAACATCACACCTAGGGTCCATCAGATGGACCTCCAACTGGCAGCCAAGCCAACAAGAGGGCTGTGCCACCACAGGGACCTCCATCAGGGTCTCACTTGGACCCTCTGCTTCTGCAGGAGCTCTTCAAGTTGGTAAAGAAAAGCCCACCCTAGTGGGCTCTAAAGTTTCCCTAAGGAGACCCTTCTGCATGTGAGAGCCAGGACCCCACAAACTTTTCTACCATTTGCCTTAAATTTAGCTTATAAGGCTCTAAAAGTACCATGCCCTGTTTCTGTTTCTCCATCCCTACTAAAGAAGTCACAGCCTCTTTTACATGATCCCACGACAACAGCCACGACCTCAGAGACCCCATCTGGCCATCAGGGGGGCTGAAGTTCTCCAGGTCCCCCAGCACCACGAGAAACCAGGCCTTGGGCCAGGAGAGCTGGCAGTAGAGGATCCCTAGGGAGGGCTGGCACATTGTCCTTCATCAGTGGACAATGGTTCTGCTTGTGTCTGACCCAAAGCAGCTCCTGATGGCAAAGCTCTGCCAGGCCACCAGCAGCCAGGTGGACCTGCCTCAGTCCCAGGCTTCACTGACAGTGTTTTGCTGCTGCTCAAGGACAGGACTGGTTATCACAGCTGCTTCAACAACAACACTAAGCACCTGATAAGCTGCTTTAGCTGAACAGGCTGTGGTCCCAGCAAAGGGACACTGTGTGCATGGGAGCCCGTGGGACCTGGCACTTGGCTGTCTGGGGAGGCTGCCTTTGCCACAAGGCAACAATCCACCTGGGATATTTGCCAGCTCTTCAATGGAGAAAGGTCCTGAGAAGTTCAAGACCATCACTGTGCCCCGGTGCCAGCCAGAGGCACCAGCATCTTCCTCCTGCAAGGCCAGGGCTGCACTTCCCTGGGTTATTCTCTAAACACACGACTCTGCTGCTCCAGCCAGAATGAGGTGAGAACTTCATCCTCACAGGCTCCTCTGGGGCAGAATCCACCCACACGGGCACAGGAGGTTCAAGCTAAATATAAAGGAACATTTCTTTCCTGTGAGGCTGCCCAGAGAGGCTGTGGAGTCTCCTTCTCTGCAGACATTCCAAACCCACCTGGACATGTTCCTGTGGGATCTACTGTAGGTGATCCTGCTCTGGCAGGGGGTTGGTCTGGGTGATCTTTGGAGTTCCCTTCCAACCCTGACCACTATATGACTCCCCACCTCTTCTTTGTTCCCTGCTGCTCAGTGAGCAGGGCTGAAGGACACCAGGGCAGCCCTGGGGCAGGAGCTCCACCAGAAGTGGGGCAGAGACACCTCCAGCTTTGTACTGGTGGCCAAAGCTTGGCTGAGCTGGCTCTGTTCCCAGCAGCAGGCAGGTCCACATGATCATGGGCCATGAGCATGGTCTCCTCCTCAAGGCCACCCAGGGAAAACATCAGGGTTGGGAAACTGCAGACAAAAGGTTCCCAGAGAGCTTCCTGCCAGAGACACCAAACCCTCCTGGAAAAGCCCTGTGTGAGGCAGGCAGAGGTCACAGGTCAGTCCTGGCAGGGGACAACGTGACCAGCCTCAGCTTGCAGGGCTTAGGAAATCAACATCCTGTCCTGCAGCAGCCCAGCAGCAGCCAGCTGGGGCAGCCAGCTCCTGCAGCCCTGCAGCACAGGGCCCTGCTCCCTGCAGGTGCCCAACCCCAGAACCTGAGGCCAGAAGCTGCCTGGGGAGAGGTCCAGCCTGGGGAGGGGGTCCAGCCACTGTCTTACCTCACCTCCTGCCTGCTGGTCACTGACCAGAGTAACCACCAGAACAGCTGACAAGAGCTGAAGCCAAAATGCTTCAGCGACCAGGGATCACACAGAGGAGACCACGAGAAGGAAGAAAAGGCATCAAAGCCCTTCACGTCCCTCTTCCCCTGGGGTCTGTGACCTGCCTTGCTGAACATGAACCACCAACCCTCCCCAGACCCTCCTGCAGCCACCTGGGCTGGCATGAGGCCAGGGAGGTCACCCAGGTGTTGGTGCCATCAGATGTCCCCTGTCACCCCGGCCGAGCTGCACAGCCCCAGCCCCGGGCAGGGAGCACCAGAGCACCCTGGGGACGCTGAGGAGCCGAGAGGGGACG